CTCCAGATTTCTTGGCACAACTTGGTGAGCACGTCCAGGGCAGCATCTGTTAACTGAAATATGTCAATTGGTATACCATCTATTCCTGGAGCCTTATTTCTGGCCATGTCCTTCAAAGCAGCCTGAACTTCTTCTTTCATCACCATAGGCTCTTGCTCATATGTTGTTACATGAAATTCTTCTTAATTCTTCTTAATATCATGATAGATGAGGAAAGATTGAACCTGTTAATGACTTGATCTTACTTGGATCCACAAACAATACACTTAGTAGTCAGGAGACCAGAAGATGTATTGAACTGGGAAATTTGAAGAGGGACCTCTCCAAATTATTGAGGAGCAAAGATGTTCTTGTAAGGACTAAGGTGTGCCTGATTCAGACCATGGTCTTTTCAGTCACTTGCTCTGCACCTGAGAGCTGAACAATGAGTAAGGATGACAGAAGAAGAATTGATGCCTTTGAAATGAAGTGTTGGAAATGAAAGCAGAAGATCCCATCAACTGCTGAAAGAACGAACAGATATGTCTTGGAGAAGGTCCAGCCAAAGTGCTCCTTGCAGGCAAAGATTATAAAATTTCATCTCACACACTTTGGGCATGTTGCTGGTATAGGTTTCTCCTTGGAGGAAGACATCATGGTAGGAAAGGGTGGAGGGACACTGAAAGAAAGGTTTTCAACCAGAAAGATTGACACGGTGACTAGTGCAATGGGGTCAAGTGTGTCAGAGATTGTGAGGATGACACAGGATGGGACAGCGTTCAGATCTGTTGTTCAAAGAGTTGTTATGAGTCATACTCAGCTCAAAGATGCCTGACAACAACAACAAGTGCATAGGCTACAATAATGATAAAAATATACCCTTGCTCTTGTGGAGTTTGTATTTTTCTGGAGACCATATACCCTAAGCCCATAAATATAACATAGAAGTCATACTGAAAGTGAAAAGGTTCTATATTTTGTAACAGGAACATTTTGCATAACTATTCTTCAGGGAATTGAAAATAATGTGAATGGGAGAAGGAGAGGCAGGGTGCAACATTACATCCTCAAATTGAAAAAATAGTTGTTGTTGATTCCAGCTCATGGTGACTCCACGTGTGTCAGAGGAGAACTGTGCCCCACGGAGTTTTCAGAACTGATTTTTGGGAAGTGTATCATCAGGCCTTTCCCGCAACATGCCTCTTGTGTGTGGGTATAAGTGGGTGACTCAAACATTTAACCTTCTGGTTAATATCAGAGTTTGTAGAGTCCATGCAAGTGATAGCTGTCTAATGTGTTTGGGTGGATAAAGTGATATTTGTGATATTTGAAGAAAAAGCTGAAAGAGTTACCTAAGAGATTTGGTGTGCAGGGGCAAAGGATCAAGTTTGTTGGCTTAGATTTTCAGTCTTAATTCCCTGATGACACCTTGTATTAAGATGGGGACACATAAGGGAGCACAACTTTCCCAGGGAAAATGAAGTCTTGTTTTAAGTAAGCAGAACATGAGATGCTTACTACATATCCAGTAAGAAACCCTGATGGTTACATGGTTAATATCTGGCCACAACTTGGAGGTTTGCCTATTTGAACCCATCGAGTGACTCTATGGTAGAAAGATCTGGTGATATGCTCATGAGAAGGTGAGTGTGGTCTGAAAAGTGGAGAAGGTCAAATGTGAGGTCTGGGGAGCCCCAGCATTTGCTTGTTAGGAAAAGAAAGAGGAGACAAAAAAGGCAATAATGAAGAAATAAATCCAGCAGTTAAAAATTTCATAGTCCAGCAAGAAAAAATTAAGTGTGATTGCAGAGATAACAACAAAAAGCTTACTTTCTACCAGATCTTATGCTTTACTATCTTCCCAACCTTTACTGGGAATTTCATCCTATCAGAATGTAGCATTAATTGTGAGTCAGCCTCTTTTTTCTGACAACTAGAATATTCTTAGTCAGGGCCTTACTACTTCTAATTAAATGTTATAGCTCTTTGTTCAGAATATATTCATGACTAATCTAGTAGATGCACAGCTATGCTTTTTTGAAGTTCAATCTTTTTAGAGGAGATAAATAAGACACATGTTTAAGTAGCTCTATAACAAAGTGACACATGATTAAAAGAGTAAGAAAGGCACTATAATTACTATGGAAGTTAAAGGACAGGGATACTAACTTTGGAATGAAAGATCAGAAACAAATCTCCAGAGAAAGTTCCCTTTTTACTGGGTCTTAAAGGATAAACTGATTTGGGCTTGAGGTGAGGAAATGAAAGAGCAGGTTTGAGTGACAACATGAGTAGAGGCAAGATTGGAGTTCTGGGCAGGTAGAGGAAAAAAAGCAAATATTCCATTTTCTAGAAGCATAAAAAGTATGAATTAAAATAGTTAAAATAATCTGGGAAGACAAATTGGAATTAGATCAGGAAAAACCTTGATTTTTTTCAGTTTAAAAAATTTAGACTTTATTTAGAAAGCATTAAGAATTATGGAAAGTAGGTAGATTTTGTTTTGTTTTTTAAAGAGAAGTGATTGCTTTAGATACCATACCCCTTTCCAAGATATTTTTGGCCACTACAGACAGCCTTCATCCTACATAGATCCACAATCAATACACTTGGTGCCAACAGTCAGGAAATCATGTGATGTATGCACTGGGAAAGTCTGTAGTCAGAGCCTTCTTCAAATTTTTGAAGGAGTAATGATGTCAGTTTGAAGACAAAGGTACACATAATTCAGGTCATGGTCTTTTCAGCGACTTCCTATACATCTGAGGAATGAACAAGGATAAAGGATGACAGATAAAGAATTGATCCCTTTGAAATGTGGTATTGGAGAAAACAGCTTAAGATCCCATAGACCGCCAAAAGAACAGATACATCTTGGAGAAAATGCAGCCAGAGAGCTCCTTGTAGGCAAAGATGATGAAGCTTCATCTCACATACTTTAGGCATGTTGCTAGGGGAGGCTATTCCTTGCATAGGGACATCATGCTTGGAATGGTGGAGGGTTGGTAAAAGAGAGGAAGACCCTCAACCAGGGGCATTGACACCGTGACTGTAGCAATGGAGTTGAGTAGTTAGAGCCTGTGAGGATGGCACAGGATGGGAGATTGTTCAGATCAGTTGTTCATAGGGTTGCTGTGTTGACACAATGACATCTAACAACAGCTTCTACAGAATTAATTGAAGACATGAGAAAGAGATTAAAAAGTACAGATCAGCCAAGAATTTGTGCTAATAATTCAACACCTGATCAGAGATGATTTTTTAAAAATAGTAGTAAAAACAATGTATACAAACTTTGAAAGTAAACCAGTATAAAATAAAAAAAATTATAAAAAAGGTGTATATATTGAAACATTTGTTCTTTTAAATTATTATTCATTCATTGTTGCTCATACATTTGTTCTTCTGAAGAAGTAATTTTCACATCAGGAAAAGGATTCAAGACTAGAAGTCTGGCAGAGAGGTCAATACCTGGTGCTGACATGCCGGGAAAATTATGTGGCGATCTGGGAGAACTTGCTCATGGCTAGGGTTAGTAGATGCCTCTCCTTTACAATTCTGCAGATAGCCCCAGATTAGACCAGACATCAGATGAAGCAGACCTGGGCAGCTGAAGAAGTTGCATAGAGTCTTTCCTTATTCCCTAATGAGAGTCCATTACCTACTCAGGGTATATGTGGTCAATTCCAACCATTATGCCCTGGTTGTCCTTACTTAGAACCTCAGGTCAGGCACTAGCTAAGGCCATATTTGGAATATTTTAGGTCAAAGTAGAATGAATACTTGTATCCTTCTGTGTTCAAAGCAATGCCTCATGCACTCCAATAGTGCGGAAGGATTTTTCCTTTGACACGACTGGTCAAAGTAAAATAATCAAGGCATATTTGCTTTCCATTATTGGACCTCTCTCCTAGATGAGCAAGCTGCTGTACTTTCAAGTCATCTAGGTCTTCCCAGGAGTCTCCTTTCCATGGGTATTAGCTTATGATCCAGGGTCTTGCATTCTTTTAGTCCACACAAAAACTTATCTTTTTTTTTTTTCACACCATTGCTTTCTGGTCTTATTTTCTTTTGTTGTCTTGTAGTTGTTATTGTGTACCATCAAGTTAGAACCAACCCATAGCTGACCCTCCGGCGGGCTTTCAGAGGCAGTTAATCACACAGGAGGAGATTGCACATCCTTCTCCCATGGAGCAGCTGACTGATTCGAACTGTGTGCTTCTGGGATTGCAGTACAGCTTTTTCCCACTAGGCTACCAGTGTTCCATTATTCTCATTTAGCTGTGGGAAACATATTATTACAGATGTTACTGTTGTTTTGTTTTGTTTTTTTACTGAGACCTGTGTGATGATGATTTCTTAATCAAATTAGATGGATGTTAGGCTAGGAATACCAGCCATTTAGCAAAACTTTCTGTGAATTATTTGGACAGTAATCACATCACACTATGCATGTGACATTTAATTTGCTTGTAGAGATATAGATCATGTCTGGGCATTGATCCTAGTAAAGCAGGTGTTTGCGTGTGTTTATTTAATCACCTCTATTCTAAATCAGTGAGAATTTATTTCTTCTTCCTGTTCATCAGGAAAATTGAAACCATACAGCAGAGAGTGATGCAAGGAATTTAATGTTTGCCAAAGGTTAATCTAAGAGTTGGTGAAGAATTAGTTCCAAGAAAGGCTGAGAAGCCAACAAAGAGGACTTTTAAAAACTCATTCAATGTGAAGAAGGACTCTCATATATTCCAACTCCAATGAGTCAGTGGTTATGCAGGGTGATTGGGAAAATATTCAGAAAAAGAGAAGTCCACTCAAGAGCAAAGTACGTCTTTCTTTGGAAAAATGAAATAAAGAACGCTAGTGTCAGAGGTTGTGTGTAGTTTTGAGAAGTAGATGGGGATATAGGTTGTTGTTGGTAGGTGCCATTTTGTTGAGTATGACTCATAGCAACTTTATGAACAACAGATCTGAAACCTGTCCTATCCTGTGCCATCCTCATCATGTCTGACATTCTTGAGCCCATCACTCTGTCAGTCTGCCTGGTTGTGAGTCTTCCTCTCTTTCACTGCTCCTCCACCTTTGCAAGCATGATGTCCCACTCCAAGGAATAGTCTCTCCTAACAACATATCTAAAGTATGTGTGATGAAGTTTCACTATCTTTGCCTCCAAGGAGCACTCTGTTTGCACTTTCTCCAAGACATATCTGTTTGTTCTTTTGACAGTCCGTGGGATATTCCTAAACACCAGAGCTCAAAGGACTTAATTCTTCTGTCATCCTTAGTCATTGCTCTACTTTCAGTTGCATAGCAAGTGATTGAAAAGACCATGGCCAGAATCAGGTGCACATACTGTTTATATTGACATCATTGCTCTTTAGAACCATGGAGAAGTCTTTGACAGCAGACTTTCTCAATGTAACATGTCTTTTGAGTACTTGACTGCTCTTTCAGGGTGCTGATTGTGGATCTAAATAAGATTGATAACTCCTATCTTTTATTCATCTATCATGAATAAGCTATCCATTCAGTGGTGAGGACTTTTGTTTTCTTGACGTTGCGATGTAATCCATATTGAAGGCTGTAATTTTTGATCTGCAGTAAGTATTTTAAGTCATACTTTCAGCCAGTAAGATTCTCTCATATGCATAACACGGGTTGTTGATGAGTCTTTCTCCAATTCTGATGCCACATTCTTCTTCATAGAGTTCAGATTCTCCAATGATTTGCTCAGCATACAGATTGAATAGGTATGGAGAAAGGAAACAAATTTGATTCACACCTTTCTTAATTTTAAAGCACGCACTTTCCCCTTGCTCTATTTGAGTAATGGCTTCTTGGTCTAGGTCTAGGTTTCTTTCGTGTGTGTGTGTGTGTGTGTGTGTGTGTGTGTGTGTGTGTACCATCAAGTTGGATCTGACTGGTACAGGAAGAGATTGACCCTCCTTTTCCAGCAGAGCATCTGGTGGATTCTAACTGCATGCCTCTGGGATTGCAGTGCAGCTTCTTGCCACTAGGCCACCAGAGCTCCCTAGGTCTAGGTTTCTTATAAGCATACTTAAGTGTCCTGGGATTCCTATTCTCTATGTTAGCTGTAATGTGTTATGATTCACACAGTCAAATGCCTTTGAAGAGCAAATAAAGCACAAATATACATTCCTTTGGTGTTCCTGCTTTCAGCCAGGATCCATCTGACATCAACAATGATATCCCTGGTGTCGTGGCCTCTTCTAAACACAGCTTGAACTTCTCACAGTTCCCTGTCAATGCTGCTTTTGGATGATCTTCAGCAATATTTTGCTTGTATGTGATATTAATGATATTGTTTCATAATTTCTGCATTCTTTTGGATCACCACTCTTAGGAATGGGGAAAAATATGGATTTCTTCCAGTCATTTGGCCAGGAAGCTGCCCTCCAAATTTCCTGGTGAATACTGCCAGGGTTGCCGCTGTCAACTAAAACAAATCACTTGATATCCATTCAATTCCTGGGGCCTTCTTTTTTTTTTTTTTGTTTTGCCAATGCCTTCAGTGCAGCTTGAACTTCTTTCCTTTCCGTTGGCTCTTGATCATATGGCACTTCCTGAAATATTTCGATGTCAGAATTTATTCTGGTACAACAACTCTGTGCTTTCCTTTAATTTTCTTTTGATGCTTCCTGGATCATTTAAGATTTTACCTATAGCATCTTTTATTATTACAACTCAAAGTCTAAATTTGTTTTTCATTTTTTCAGTTTAGGAAATGCTAAGTGAGTTCTTACCTTTTTATTTTACAATTCCAGCTTTCTGCGCATTCTGTTATAATACTTTGTCTTCTCTAACTGCCAAATATGTTCAGTTCTTTTGCTTCAGCTTCTCTTCCCTTTTTTTTTTCGGGCTTCTCAAAGCTCTTGTGCAATTTTCAGAATCTCTTTTAACACACATTTTAGGTTTTTTTTTTCCTTTCTACCTTTGTAATGACCGTTTGCTTTCTGGATGGATGATATCCTTGATATTATTCTAAAACTTATCTTGTCTTTGATCATTGATGTTCAATGCCTCAAACCAATTCTTAAAATTATTTTTAAACACAGGAAATGAAAGGTTTTTTTACCAAATTTTGCAGTCTAAAATTAACCAAACATGCAACTAAGATATATTAATAACACTGGCGACTGAAACGCAAAAGTTGGAAACAATGAAGATGGAATGGTAGGCAGAAAGTACAAACTTGGTTGACAGAAATGAAGCTTGAAATCAAATAACTGAATTTTACACTCTCAATGATTTATTCATCACAATTTTCTTTTTTAAAAAAAAACCCCAGAAATTGTTATTTTACACATAGATCTCACATAATGAACTGCATAGGATCAGATTGACCTCATAAATGAAAATAATTGTTTGAGAAGTTCAGTGTCAGCAGTCAAAACCAGGCTAGCTGTTGACTGTGGAACAGGCAATCAATTATTCATGTGCAAGTTCAAACTGAAGCTGAAGAAAATGAAAAGTCCCCAAGAACCAAAATACTATCTGGAGTCTATCCCATCTGAATTTAAAAATCATTTCAAGAACAGGAAATAAAGGTAGGAAAGTTCAAAAGAAGAGGAAGGAGATTGGCCACTGGGAAGTCAGCTGTCAGATCATTTGGTTTTGCTTCTTTTGTTGTTCTTTGCCACTTAGTTTTGAGAATCTATGAATGATGGTTATTTAATGCATGCTCTTTTTATCCTCTGGAAGGAATGTTGTGTTAGTATAGTCAACCTGGCTTTCAGTGGGAGCACACAGTTTGGGGGAAGAAAGGTTTAGTCTGGGTCACTGGGTTGATTCCAACAAGAGTGAACCAGACTTTCAGACTTATCTGAGTTCACATCTCCAGTTGGAGCCAGTCAGGCTTCGGCACTCCAAGGAGTAGAAAGGCCCTGGGGACTCATGTTAATCATTGACTCCAGTTTTGTTTCAGTTGCTCTTCTTCCTACTCTTGTTCCATAGTATGTTTCAACTTATTTAGATCCTTGGAAGTTTTTCCCTGAGATGTTTATACTGTTTCTACATATCTATATTTGATTTTATTTAAAATCGTAAGTGAGAAAAATAACCTTTGAAATATTCTCTTGGAAAAATAGCTTACTGATGTCACTTAGGGTTCAAGAATTTAAAAAAAAATAAAAAAGAAAGACCTATGAGTTGCAAATGGTAAGTACTTTTTCACCTATAACATTTTTGAGTGTTACTAAGATATCTAGTTTCTGTGTCCTTTTCAGAAAAATAAGACAGCCCTCCCTCCCCTTTTCTAGCTTCAAAACATAAACTCCATATCTTTTTCTGCTCACTGTCTTCCTGTTTTCTCTTCCAGTTCCAGAATCTGCTCCATTCATTATAAATATTGAAAGTTCAAGTCCTGACACCGTGGAAGTCAGTTGGGCCCCACCCCAATTCCCAGGTGGACCTATTCTGGGTTATAATTTAAGACTAACCAGCAAAACTCAGAAATTAGATTCAGGGACACAGAGAACCAGCTTTCAGTTTTACTCAACTCTACCAAACACTACCTACAGGTAAGAATGAAATGGTGCAAAGGAAATGCTTCATACAACACTAAAACCCAGAAAGCCAGACCCTGTGTGAGGCAGAACCTGTCAGAAAAGGAAAACCTGCATAGTATCTTCTAATAAAGAGCAATGGAAAAAGTGGTAAAATTGTACCCTGTCAAAGCCAGAAAACCTGTGAGACCTGGAAAAAGAAGACAATCCTGTTGACATTTGGCCCTCACAAATGTCAACATGCTTAAGAAAAATGGGTTAAAATATAATTTTAAAGCCTTGTAAGTTGCTTGGCCTCTCCACTGTTGAGCTGAACTCATTGTAATTTTCTGAGTTTATATCCTGATAGATTACACTACTCTAAGTCAGAACATTCTCAACTATTTCTTTTGTAGTCAGAAAATCCTCATAAATATGAGCTAATAAAGACATCATAGACAGTATATTCATGGCTTCATTTAATCCACCTTGGCAATAGCAGGGAGGTCACATTCTGTTAATGGTATTTTTATTAACTACTAAGGGGATTATTTTATTATTGTTAGCTTTCCTAACATTTACTCAGGCTTCTTCAAATTAGGGGAGAAATGGGAGCCATGCAGATAAGTAGAGTTCAGCTTTTGACCTCTGTGACCCTGAACTGGTCTATGGGAATGCAAACAAGGAAGTGATTGATGGTCATTTTAGTGCTGAACAGGGGCACCAAGTAACTAGATACCTCTATTGCCACATCATCCTTAAATAGAAACGTTATTTGCCGCTTCTATTTTTATCTTATGTTCACACCATGCCATGTGAAGCACATCTCTCCAAATTGTTTTTGGAATAGGTTTTCTATTGCAGCAGTAAATGAAGTTGGTGAGGGGCCAGAAGCAGACTGTAATATTACTACTTCATCCCCAGCAGGTATGGCCCTGGGTTGTCCTTCTGTTACAGAGGAGCTGAGGGGTGGCAAGGGTAGGTTCTGATCCAGAGATCATTGGTCATGTGGTGAACCTCAAAGACCCCCTCTCTTCTGCCCAAAGCAAAACAGTCCTTTGGGCAATTAGTAAGTTTTACATATTAAATGTGTCTAAATCTTTGAAAAATAGAAATAAGTAGTTAGATTGAAAATTTTCACATTCTAATTTAGGAAATGGAAAATTTTAGTTTAATAATTAATTTCCAACAAGTACTTGGTTTCAGTTGTGATTATTGTTGATGTGGCTCAGTTACACATTGAAAACCAACTATCAAATACATTACCATCTGGGAAATTCTGACTCTTAGGGACCCTATAGTATAGACTATCATTCCCCAGAGGTTTTCCAAAGCTACACATCTTTATGGAAGCAAATCGTCATATTTTTGCCTGTAGATAGATTGGTGTATTTCAGTTGCTGAACTTTTGAGTAACTACCATATATTTTTTTTCTAAAACAGGGGATACAGATAACTTTTCTGCCCTAATTCTCATTTTTAAATATCATCATTTAATAGCTATCAGATATCATTTTTATAGACTCATTTTTAAATATACCTAGACTTGAGTAATTCACATTTTACCATTTTGAGTTGTCAAATTACAAAATTAGCTTTTGTTAGTATGTTAGAAGTATCCTTTTGAGGTTTTTTTGCAGCCTAGAAATTATCACAAGAGTTGGAATGTTTCTTTGGTAAGCCTGAAGAGGCAAAATTAAAAAAATGAAAATGGTTCGTAAGAAGTGATGGACATTCTTCGGGAGAAATGAATTAAAGAATTTGTAATATCACACAAAGGCCTCAGATTCAGAACCCCAATAATCAGGTTTCCATTTTCACCTGAGCTCCTTTACTCGATACAATACCCTTTAGCATATTCTGCACGTACCTAAGCCGGTGAGCACAGAATGCCATCTATCATCAGCCTTTAGTTCTTTGGCTGTTACTAGACTATAGGGAAAGAGAGGCATTTTTGTTATACAAGAATTATGACCAAAGGGCAAGTTAAATATAGAGCAGGCTTAGAGTTGCTGTCACTGTGATTGTTGCATAACATTTATTAGTTGGCATCAAACAGGTCCCGTATCAGTTTCCAATTGAATAGCACATCAACTCGAGTGTTGCAGCTCTCAAATTTCATTTCAATAAGGACTATCCTCTTGCCACAAAGGGAGAAATGTTAAAGGCAAAACAGAGACAACCAATGTCTGTCTGTAGGTGTGTGCACACCACGCAATAACCCAAACTGCTCGGGTTGTACCACCTCCATCAAGTAGTTAAATTTTCATGACTGAAGATAGGGAGCTGACTTCCTCTTGGGGCGAGACTGTTGAGAATAGTGTTACCTTTTGTGTTGCTCTTCTAGGGTAATTCAGGGGATACAGACTTAGATACAACTTGATTATTACTCTACTTCTACTCTCAGTCATGCAATAATATAGGTTAAATCATTCAGTCCCTTCTGAGATGATTTGACTGTCCTCTTTGAAGTGTAGTCCTCTTTCTTTAAAGGGAGTCCCTGGGTGGTGCAAACAATTATACAGTCAGCTACTTGGAACTGGATTGGTGGTTCAAATCTACCCAGAGGTGCCTCAGAAGAGATCTCTTTTCAAAAGATCACAGTTGTTAAAAGCTTTCTGGAGTGTAGTTATGCTCTAACATATACTTAGTCACCTTGAGCAAAATCAACAACAACTAGCTTGGTGATATTGTTCTTGGGTCAATGTGTTTCATGTCTTTCTATCTGCAAATAATTTCACTTTTTCAGTTCAAGAAGAAGAGCAGTGGCTCTTTTTATCCAGGAAAACATCTCTAAGAAAGAGATCTTTAAAATACATAGCAGATGAAGCACAATGCCTTCAGTCAGATGTTATTCAGGATAATATTACAGGTAAGTATCATAGGGAAAAATATCAGCTTAAAAAGAAAGATCTGTGTTGATTTCTTTGTTAATATCTTTTTTAAAAATATTAAAAGAAAATTTTCTGTCTTTTTTTTTACTTAGTTGTTAAGTAATAATGTATCCAAATTTGCATGTCTTTTCCAGGAATATCTGTTCATGCCCACCTTCAAGTTGTTTATTTCTCTGAAAGAAATCTCATATGGGTGAAAAAGGCTGCCAACATGTCTGATGTGACTGACTTAAACATTTTTTACAGAGGTTCAGGATTAATTTCTTCCATCTCTGTAGACTGGCTTTATCAGAGAATGTATTTCATCATGGATGAACTGGTTAGTCTGAAAATCTAAAACAAATGGCTATTAATAACATATATATGCATATCTTGGTGCATTTATAATAAAAACAACCTTTTCAGTTAATAAATATTCATTATGTTTCAGACACTAGATTAAGCAATAATTCATAAATTTGGTCTCTAGGAAGTCTAAAGCTTATTTAGTACTAATCTAAGTGGTCTGGTGGGTAAGGAATTGCAATGCCAACCCAAAGGCAGGTGGTTGGACTCTATTAACTGCTCTGTGGGAGAAAGATGGAAAATCTCCTCCCATGGAATTTACAGCTTCAGAAAACCTGCTGGAGGGTCATCTATGAGTTGATTCAGACTTGGTGGCAATGAGTTGAGTCTTGATCTAAATGAAGTCATCTGTATTTTGATTATTTCAAGGCCATGAATTTATACCAAGTCAAAGTTAATTTATAATAATGACATAAGCTAGTAATGAGATATATTTTTTCATAAGGTAAGATTGCCAATCAAGATCAGGATCAGTTCCAAGTATTTTAAATGTGAAACAATCAAGAAGTAATTTCTGTGCCTCTGAAAATGCAGTGATACTGAAATCTCTGTGAAGACACAATCTTGGTGTGTTTCAAGTTCTAGTTCTTTTGAAGGTTCAGGCTTACCACAGTGAGGAAAGACCATTATTACTGCCAGAAGTCCATAAGCTTTGAGACAGATTAGATATTAGTCACAGTTTGCACTCCAGCCAAGGAAATAGGTATTTGTATTTCACTGAACTCAATAAAATAGAAAATTTTTACCATATAGGAAATAAAACTACCTTTTAAGTCTTTCACTGTGTTTTCTATATATCATTTACATAACGGTGACTGGAAAAATCACAAATAACTAGCATAATTACAAACACAAAACAGATGTTCAGGAAAGAATTTTTGGCCAATTTAGTGATGGCTGGACATTAATACTTTTACTATGTTTTTCCCCCCTTAGGTATATGTCTGTGACTTAGAGAACTGCTCAACTATTGACGAGATAACTCCTCCTTCTATTATTGCACCTCAAAAAATTATAGCTGATTCCTACAATGGGTAAGTGCTTGCATGGATTTCTTTTCACTGGTAAAATGCTGGTTGAATCTATTGATATATCTTATTTCAAGTAAATTTAATTAAGCCAACACAAAATTTTCATGCTATGGAGCCAGGAACAACTTTCCTTCACACTTGCTTTAAGTTTCTTCTAATAAAATTATAGTTTCTCTCTTTCACAACAAGGTATTATGGCTACATGACAGGTCTTCTAGTCAGAAGCCCGGGGCCTTGGGACTCGAATTCTAGCCCCAAGTTGGTCATTGTTTTATCCTGGACCTTAGGGTCTCATTATTCTTCAGTCCCTCCTGGGAGAAGCCCTTCTGCCATTTGTGGTGCTTTTTCTTTTGTTGAGTTTTTAGCTCCAGCTCAACTTTCTGATCTGGTTCTCATACTGGGAGTACCTGTTAGGATCCACCTTGGAAGACAGGAGTTGCTGGTTTGTAACGAGTGGAAAATTTTAATAGAAATAATTGGCTTTAAACAAACCCCACTGTCATGAATGAACATGGAGGCGTCAGTCCAATTGTAGTGCTAAATTGTAGTTGGCCCTTGGGAAAGAGACTTCATATATGTGACTTTTGTTTTATGCCCTCCAGCAGACCAGTTTCTGTAAGAATTAACTTTCTTTTTCTTTCTTATAAGAATAATATTTCATTTTGAAGGGGGGGGAAACCAGTCCATAATACTTTATATAAAATTTTCCCTGAAAAGATCTAATTGGGGAGGGGGAAATGATTGCTTATCACTGATTTTAAGTCTAACTTTTCTTTTCAATATCATTCATAATTTACTAGGCTTAATCTCTTAAACCATGCAGTGTTCCCTTGCTCTGTTCTGACGACTGCCTCCTGGTCCAAGTATAAGTTTCGCATTAGAACGATCAAGTGTTCTGG